AAGAAATACTTTGACACACTTATAACCTGAGGCCCTGAGTCATAAAATACATGGTGTCTGAGGAAGCAGAAGACGGCTGTACCAAGAGTGGTGTCCTGGTGGTCGGTGGACAAACAAGGTCTTGTTACATCAATACCCTCTATGCTGTGTTAAGATTCATATTATTCTGGAAATCCTGTGATAATCATTCTGCTTTATTTTGTTTATACTTGTTCATATTAGGGTGAGGTAAGTAGTTGGGTGGAGCGATAAACGGCTCAGTGAGCCTCGCCTTTCTAGTTCTCGAGTCTTGCTTTGTGATGGTCAGACCAGGGTGCGGTTGCCTTAGCCAGTTCCCCGCTTCAGTACCAGAGATGAGCTTCTCAGGTCGGAAAGGACTCACGTAATATTGAGAAAGATCCGATACACAACATTGAGTGTATTCCACCTGAACTTCTAGAACATCTCAAGTATAGATTTGATGCATTAAACACTAATAATAAAAGACCTGATGAGTTGTGCGATGACATCAAGAACATCATACATCAAAAAACTAAAAAACCATTAGAAAGAAAAGGTCAATGTGGATATCGTATGAGACTTTGAGGCTTGTTCTTAATCACAGATAGCTAAGGCACCTGGGAGAAATGATGAAGTTAAATTGCTGAACAGAAAATTTCAAAGGGCAGCTTCAGAAGCGGAAGTAAAATTTAGGCAAATGTGACAAGAACTCGAGGTAGAAAAGTAAACTGCAAGAACACACATAGCATATCTTAAAGTGAAAGAAATCAAGAAACCTTTCAAACCTCGAGTTGCAGTATTACAAGATTATATGAGCAAATTATTGAATGATGCAGGAAGCATCAAGAGCAGAAGAAAAGAACACACACTGTTCCAAAAAGAACTAGTGGATATTCCACACTTCCTGCAAGACATCCCCGGGGAGAAGCTGCATGGACCTACCCCGATGCAGCCCTGGGTGCTGGAGCAGCCGTGTGGAGACCCCTGCCAGCGCTGAGATGCTTATACATTCACTGACTCGGCTTTCCTCCTGCAGTTGGTGTCATTGTGTGTGTTTTGTGAGATGGAGGAGGACTTTGTGGATTGGTGTCGGACATAGGGGCTAATGGGTTAATGTTGGACTTGTGGGCTTGGGCAGAACTGGGTTGGGATGTTTTCTTGATGTGCACTTACCCTTTATATAAAACTCTCTCTTATATATGAGTTTCTGTGGGTTTGTTTCTCTAAAGTACCCAGACTAACACATAGGGTGTATGTATCTATCTCAGAGGTGCTTTGCCATTTTAGGTCACCCTCTTGAAGTTGTGTTACTTGTTTTTTGGTAAATGAAAGCCCCTACAGTACAGCAAATAGAGCAAGGGTTTGGAGGGAAGGGGGTGGGGAGAAAGAGATAAAAGGGAGAAAAATGTCGAAGAATCCAAGAAGGAAAAGTATGTTTGGAGACTGATTATGGAAGCAATCGTACAATTCTGTTTGACATAATGGAATGATACAATATATGTATTAACTACAAAATAATAACAAATTAAAAGAAGAAAAGAAAAGGGAAAAAAATACAGATTCAGAAACAGGTTTTGGGCTCACACTAAATCCTAGCTCCAACTGAAGAACAGCTAGTTCTTATACATCATGGCCCTGCTCTATGCTAGCCATACGAAAGATATAGTGCTATAGCAAAATGTGGTGAAGAATTTAGATGGTGCCCAGCTACCAGACAAAATAGCATCTGGGGTCTTAAAGGCTTGTCTCCAAACAAGCAGCCCTCTAAGTGAGATGTCAATGAAGTCCATGTGGAAGAAGCACACCATCATCAGCCACCGAAGAATTGTAATCATATACCCCAACGTCGAAGGAGGGATCAGTATCAGAATCTAAATTGTGAGACTCTGGTGTTCAGAAGGTGATGGATAACAATGGGAGCCCAAGTTTCATTTGTGGAACTGCATAGGAAATAAGCCTCCGGACACCTCCCCCTGTCTAAACTTGAGGGATGAGAGGAAAGTGGTCACTAAACAGAGTGCTTGGGAGAGAATAGTATAGAAGATCAAAGGCATAAATCTGACCTGAGCAGTTAAAACCATGTCAGTAGATGCCCCTTTTGATGCAGGCTGGGCCTGATCTGGTTTCCAAGATTTTCTGTATTTGGGGTTTGTATTGCTTTGTTTGGTTCCTGGTTGTTGATATTAGGGTACATCTCAGAGATGTGATGGCATTGGAGGTCACCCTCTTTAAGTTGTGCTGTATGGTTTTCTATGTTTCAGTATATGAAAGCCAGGATTGATGAACCTATAGGGACAGCAAGTAGGATAAGCGTTTCGGGGTAAGAGGGGTACAGTGGTGCTGGGGGAGGGGGTGTGTAAAAGAAAGATGATGTCAAGGAGTCCAGGTAGGGAAAAAAATGTCTGGAAACTGTGGTAGCAATGGTACAATTCTACTCGACGTCATTGAATTATGGAATGACGTTATATGTGTATTAAATTCCAATTAATAATAAGTGTTTAAAATAAAAATAAATAAATAAATAAAATAGAGTATTGAAAATACTACTTACCAAGCAAGTTAAGATACAATAGCTAAAAAAATTCCTGAAAGAAATATATACTTTGAATAGTATGTTTCAGAAATAAAGAAAAGCCAAAAAGCCAGTATGATTCTAGTTAGTTATCTAGTGCCGCTGTAATAGAACTATCACGAGAGTGGTGTAGTAGGGTTATAGACATTTGGGCTAGTAACCACAGCATAGAGCAATTTGAAACCACCAGCGCTGAGAAAAAGATGAGGCTGTCTACTCCCATACAGGCTGACAGTGTCCCAAACCCACATGGACAGGTCTTCTCTGCCCTATAGGAGACACTGTGACTCAGTATTCCCCCTTGGCAGTGAGTAAGCTTCCATGATTAAGCTTCTTTTACATCTCAAAAGTGGTTAGGCTTAAGACCTGCTACAATTGGCTAAGACTTATTAACATAATAAAGGAAAACATTTCCAGATAGAATTGTATCCGCAGGTATGAGTTAGGAGTTAAAACAGTAATGTCAGGGGAGTGGCAGGGAAGCCTAAAAGACATGCTGACATTGGGTAGATGTCTACAGATAATGAACCAATGTGGCCTTTGTAGTCACTGGATTTCTATTGCTTAGAAATGTTATCACAGGATTGAAATCACAGAGAGAATATGTATTCGGTATTAGTAGGAATCTTTTCTTTAACCCAAGTCTATTTGGTCTCAAGTGGAGACCTTCCTGGGAGAAAGCTAGAGTCCTGATTCATTGGATCTGCCAGAGGCTGGGTTTTTTTTT